GTCGTTGGGCTGTCTTTCTGTAGGACCCCGGCATTCTGAGCAGGCATTCTGCAGAGACACCCCCCCGGTAGCCTTTTTGTTTGGGCTCCGGCCAGCGACCCCTGCCAAGCTGCGCAGCGAAATGGGCATCGGAGCTACAATGTACACAACCGCTCACCGACACACACGTAGACACACACACACACACACACACACACACACACACACACACACACACACACACTGGCCCACAAGGAGAGGCAGCAGCCCCACAGCATCTGTAATCTGCTATTGCACAGGGAAACACTGGAGTGGCTTAGAGGCTCAGCTCTTTCCGCGTGTGTGTGTGTGTGTGTGTGCGCGTGTGTGCGTTCGAGGGCCTGGAGGCCTATCAGCGACGCACCAGGGGTGGGCTGCGAAAAGTAGCACAAGGCATCTGAAAAGCACTCCTGCCTCTGCTCGCTGGAGCTCTTCTTCAAGCTCCTCTTCTCCTCTCTCTCTTTTTTTTGTGTGTGTGTGTGTGTGCGTGTGTGTGTTTGATGGACTAGGGTCACGCTTCGCACACAATAAGCCCTTGTTGGGCAAAGCTTTTAGTACTTCACAGCAGGGTGACAACACACACGGATACAGAAATGTGTACATATATCTCTCTTTATAGATATATATATATACATCTACCCAATGGGGATGGAAAACATCTTTCTACTATTTGATCTCTTCTTCTTTTTTTCTCAACATATGTGCGTCTGTTATGATGTAGGTCTCAGAAAAGACCTTAAAAACGTGTAAAGGGAGTGGATTCTCGGTCCCACGTGAGATAATCAGGCTCTCATTTGGTAACAGGAAGCATCAGGCCCTCGCTGAGAGCGTGTGTGTGTGTGTGTGTGTGTGTTGGGGGGGGGTGCAGAGTGTTTGTGCAGCTGCCGTGTGAATCCCAAATGAATCCACCTGGAATCTTATCAGCTGAAGGCCGCCCGCCCGGTACCAGACGCCTGGTTTTGAATTTTTTTTTTGTGTGTGTATTTTTTTGTTTTGTTTTTTACCGGCAGGTTCACAACGTGTCGTTCTCCTTCGAGCTGATGCAGGACGGAGGTCTGGAGCGACCGAAGCCGAGACCGGAAGGTAAGGAGGCCCACCTGTCGGCACCTTTGCGTTGCTATTGGGCTTTTAAAGTGTTCCACAAAGCCTGGACGTCTTTTCACAGGCTCCTGTTTGAGTGTGTGTCTTTAATTATAAACTCTGTGTAAATTGTGTTGAATCAAACCCGTCTGGCTGGAGCATCACTGAGGAGGAATAGAAACATAAATTCTGAATTATTAGCCTAAAAACTGCTCCATTGGACAAAACTGAGACTAGTACCTAGATCTCTGCTTTTTTTTTTTTGTTGATTTAGCTGCATTTGATGGTCTCAGAAATGTGTCTGTTTGCTTTTAGCCGAGATTCTGTTGTTTTTGTGGATACCAAATGACAAACTGGCTCTTTTTATGGTCTAAACTCAGTTAAAAGTTCATATTTTCCGGTTCAAATATGAAATAGCAAGTGACAAAAACAGCAAAAAACTCAGTTTTTTTGTTTTTTTTGTTGATTTAGCGGCATTTTATGGTCCCAAAAATGTGTCTGTTTGCTTTTAGCCGAGATTCTGATGTTTCTGTGGATACCAAATCACAATTGGGCCCTTTTTATGGTCTAAACTCAGTTAAAAGTTCATATTTTCCGTTTCAAATAAGAAATAGCAAGTCACAAAAACTGCAAACGGTGGGAAAAAAATCTCTCACTTTGTGTTTATTTGCGCTTTCAAATTTGAATAAAGTGCGGTTTGAATTCGGCCCTGGCTATTATCCTCAATTGTAGAGTTACAGGTAAAAAAACTACAAACCTCGACGCATTAAAGGTGGATCTATAAGGGAAAAAAACAAACTCCAACACTCAGTTTCTTCTCAGCAGGCGATTTGAAAAAGATGTAAAATCCGTGTAACTATTAGCAGTTGATAAAAAAAGCGGAGGACAGAAGAAAAAAGGAATCCTGGTCAGGGTCAAACACTGAATAAGTCTTTAAAAGTGCCTCTTGTCGGGTGAGTCAAATAGATTTCGCTGTAATCATATTTCAAACGGCAAAGTTCAGCCAGATCGTGCCGGTTGGGCTTTGTTTGGGGAGAGAAAGGACTCACCTGCTGGATGCACGGACGAGAAAGCGTTCTAACTTCTAACCCCTGAACGGTTTTGTTTTTTTTCTTCCAGACATCGTGAACTGTGACCTGAAGTCCACCCTGCGCGTGCTCTACAACCTGTTCTCCACCTACCGGAGCGTGGACTGAGGGGCTAAAAGCTCACCAGCCTCTTTTTCCTTTTACTATGTCTTTATTTTTCTTTTTTTTTTTTTACTTAACGCACCATTCCGATTTCGGATCCCGGATCCTTCGTTCCTTTTCCTCGCGTTCAAACGATGGGACGCTTCCTTGTAAGATGGGAAAAATCGGAAAATGCCGCGTCCAACGTGGAAATCCTGACCAAGCAAAAATTTTCTTTTTCTTTGTATCCACAAAAGCAGTGTTGAACAGTATTTATTGTGCGTTTTGATATGACTTCAATCTCTTCCCACTCTGTGTCGTTTATAAGTGGCTATTTAAACGTGCTCACGTCGGTTCTTAATACTTTCTTAAGATTTCCTTAAAATATTAGACCAAAGCTTACCCGCTTTTTTTATTTTAATCTTAACACCTTTATCTTATTCTGAAGCTCGTTTTAATCCCTATATCAGACTCATTGATTACTCCCGTGTTTGTGTCCTTCTGGTCCTTTTCTGATGTGTTTCACTTCAACACATTCCCCATAATGCATCTGTTTATGTTGTAACGCATCACATTCAATAAATAGTCCAGACCCTGAAGGCTGCTGCATTTGTCACCCCCCATTCCCACCCCCCCACCCCCCTGCGTCAGATGAAGTAAAGAGGAATGTTTTTCCAACAAAACAAAAATTGGGGTCAGAATGGTTCCAATTTTGCCGGCACAGAAAGACAAGTGAACCTCCACAACAATTTTCTTTTCACTAAACGGAGACGGGCGGCGTAAAAGCTTTCTGAATTGGAGCTGACCCCCAGCATACACGGAAATAGATAGGACACTTACTGAATGGATGAAAAGCTTCATTTCTCCCTCACACATTCCACAATAGGCTTTGAAGCGCTGGGGGGGGGGGGGGGGGGGAATGGGCGTGAATCAAGCATCTGGATCGCATTCGGATCCAGATGCTTTTAATTCCACGCCGCTTTTCAATCAACGCTGTGTTTGTGTCGGCCGTCCCTAAAATTTGTGAAGAGCGAGGTGGTGTTTTTATTTTATTTTATTTTTTTCAGGTTTTTAGACAGCTCGGCATATCTCGGAGCGGCCGCTTTGTGCGGGATGTCATTTAATTTGCAGCTCAGAGTTTGCCAGAGAGAGACTTTTTTTTAGCCAGGACAGTCGGGACGGCGATTTTTGTCATGAATAAAAAAAAATCAATGTTTTTAGAAGATGCCAAAGCAGAACTGAGGGGTTCAACAGCCTCAGATTCAGATGGAAACGCTCCGGATGAATAAATGAGATGTTCTTTATCTTAAAAATGATGAAACCATTGATGGAATATATATATATTTGCTCTTTAATGGGTGGTTGGACACCATCTGTTAAATCTGGTTTATCAGCAGTTTTATATGTGTCAAAGCTTTTATGGCTGCAGATGAAAAAAAAATCAAAATGAAAAATACTCAGCGTAAAATGGAATTAAGTTCAAATAGCATTTTACCCATTGATTTAAAAATGAATAAAATAAAAAGGAAGTCTTCCTGTGTTTTAGGAGGACCTTCAAAAGAGGAGTGGACACGGAGCTTTGACCACAAATGCTCCCTCACTGTGGACTTAAAACTGTCTCCGGAAGGGGTAAAAGTTTACTTTAGTTCAGGCCCCGATTTGATCAAAAGGCCCGATAAGAAGACATGCTTTAAAAGTCAATAATGAGATCTTAGAATCAAAACTGGGAGCCAGTATAAATACACTAAAAACAGATTTATCTTCTTTTGTTTCTTTGCTATATATTACTGTTTAATTTGGACTTTTTCATCGGGAAAAATGTGTCAAATATCCAGAATTTTCTCTGTAAATCATCAAAAACCTAACACTATGGTTGTGTTCTATGCACGAGCAGCTCCAGTGTCTGAGATGCTCTTCTGGTCCCAGAGGGAGAATCAAGCTATTTGTGATCTTAAATGACAATTTGTCCGAGCGACAGAGCGGCTGTCGGGTGTCTTGCTGGAGTTTAGCTCAAACATCTTAAACAGAAAACAGTGAAGATGTTAAACCTCTCGATCTTAGACGAAACGCATCTGGAAACGAACCTCTGCTGGGTTTTTCTTTCCCCACCAGTCTTGGTTGAAACTCTAAATGAGTTAAATGAAAATGAATCGTGCATTGCTGTAAATCAGGCCTCGGCTGTCCAGGAAATTTCCCCCCGTCCGTTATCTGTGTGCAAACTAAAGGCCTGCAGCAGAACGCAGCCTTTACTGCGACAGCATCCGGCTCTGCTCCTCTCAGATGCTCTTATGTCGGTCTCAGTCCATCCTGAGGGATCTGAAAGCACATTACCATCGCTTCCCCTCGTCCAGGGAACAATTCAGAGTTATTACCTGTTTACATTACTGTTATTGCGTTATGACGCCCATCATGTGTGGGGATCGCATTCCTCTGATGGAGGACACTGTGGAGAGATCGATCGGGCCTGTTTTTCACTTTCGCCGGCATTTCAGAGAAAGATTTCCATCATTTTGGCTATAATTACTCACTTTAGCATTGTATGCTAGCACATGATCTATGTAAATTACTTTTATTTCCTTATGGAACTATATTTTGTGTTAAAGTCTTTTAGATCTAGATCCACGTCTTTAGGTCAACACAAACACACACCATTTGTTACCACATTCCTGTCATCTTAATGAATTAGGACCTGGCCTGTTCCTGCCCAGAGGTAACTGGCCAATAGGACTTGGTTGTGTCCAGTCCTCCTTTGAGGAGGCGGATCGAGCCCAGGAGATAATGCCCATCACACCCAGATCTCAGAGATCCAGAGAAAGGTTTTTGTCTGTTAGAGCCCAACTGATATACTTAACCGTGACCAATAAATGTTATTTTTGTACTTTTGATTTGTTATTTTGTACTTTTTATTCTCAGGTTTCCAACTATAGAATCGGGTTAACAGTCAGAAACATTGCAAATTTTCCACTTTTCCAGTTTCCAGTTTCCTCTGGATTAAACTGGGCCCTCGGCAGGAGCTAGCATTGACCTTTCACCTCTTCAGAAGCCGTACAGGACAGTCATTTAGAGAAAAAAAACAGAAACAGAGGCATGAGGAGGAGGTCTTATCGAATGAGGTCGGGCAGTTCTGTATATCCCATTATGTGCCTGCAGTTAGTGTAAAGTACCCTCAAAGAAAAAGAGCTCTAAGGTGTGTCCTTAAAGGCCGGCGGATAGAAAAAAAGGCTTGTTTCTGCACATGGGACCGAAGCGATAGGACGTAAGAGGGTCAGCCTAAATGAGCCATATTGTTCTGAAAGAAGCGGTTTAGCTCTAATCCAGTGAGCCCAAACACAGCCACAGCACGGCCGCGGGTTTAGCCCCGATCACGAGTGGGATCTCCACCAGCTGGGCGTCGGGAGCCTTTCTCAAACAGAATTCAGGACTTCCAGACGGGGGAAAGAGGTCCTGGTCCTTGCCACGATTCCCATTCCCAAAAGTTCCCATAACAGGAAGCTAGCATGAACATTATTCCTCCACAGGAAAGAGGATTTATGTTTAATTTTCCTGGTGAAGCAGGTTTTTTTCTGGATGTAGCGTTTCGTTTGTCCCTCCTGGGCTACTGTAGATGTGACCGTGCACCCTGATGGCCCCCCAGTACTGTCCAGCCTCCAGATTTTTCATCGCAAAACATCTTATGGCCGCAAAAATGTAATTTTAATTAAAAAATCGGAATATATCAACATGAAACAGTCGGCTTAAAAGGCTTTTATGGAAAAAAAGGCTGAAAATGCCAAACAAAAGAGGACAGAGGTTCATGTATGAATGTAAGATCCAATTAAAAGAAAAGGAAGATTTCAATAAAAGTAAGGAAATATGCAGCTTAATGGTTTTCTGTTGGTGGTTTGTGAATTTAAAAGAGAGATTCAGACTCATGAGATCATGACAGAGCTGCTGAGCAGCTGCTTTTTGGGATGACACAGAGGTTATAAAACCATGTGACAGGAAGTCTCCCTGTCTTAACAAACCGCTTTTGAGCCCCGATTTTGTGTATCAACAGAACAGAAAGAAAACAAGAAAAATGTGAAAGAGAGAAGCTTTGGTGGGCATTTGTGTGCTTCTCGGTCTATTTGAGCATTATTAAACCCTCAGTCGCCATTATGGATTGACATAGGAAGGCACGTAGTATAAAAACATGCTCAGTGTTTCCTGCTACATGGGGGGGGATAATTTCTATCCTGCGATGCAATCTGAACAGAGCTCAATGAAGCAATCAGCAGGACCAGTTTGTCGTTTCAAAGCTCCTCATTATATCCTTACTATCGGGCTGATTGGGCTGTTTTTTTTTCAGCGTGGAGAATAAACGAGGCATCAATGAGCCGAAACATGTTTACACCTCAACAGAGATGACTCTCTGATGTCCTCATTGTCTGGATAGTGTTTCTGCGACTGAAAAAAAAAAAAAAACGCACCAAAAATAGAACAATCAGGCGTCTTTTGAGGTGTTTAAACGTCGTATTTCTGTCGGATAAAGCAGGGTCACGGTTGTAGAAACACACCCGAGCAGATTGCTTTGCATCTGGATGATTGGGAAGTTTCACTACTGGGGGATTTCCACATTTAAAGAGCAATAAGGGAAGATGCGGGGGGAAATGGGAGAAGTGATTTCCATCAGGCTCTCATTGGATTAGGCTGCCGCCAGGGCTCCGGCCTCCTGTTGCTCTTTGTCTGAGCAACAGGGCTACGTCAGGCCTAGTACCTAGTACAAACCCTAGTGCCCGCACAATGGTCTAAAGGTGAGGAAAAGAATTGGACAATCCCTCCAGGAGAACTGTAGTGGTCAGGGGTTTTCATCAGCAGAAGGCCAGAGTTCGTCTCTCCTTCCTGTTTAACTGGTTTCCATTAGTTTGCATCAGATGCTCTGTCCCTCCCCGTTAACCCTTTAAAGCCAAGATCCAAGAATAAAACAAAACAGAAAATTAGTTGTTTTTTTTTTTAATTCCTTATTTGGCCTTTTAACAAAATATGTAAAAAGAAAAAACAGAAATACA